CCTCGGCCTCTGAATGGTTCTTCTCCTAGTCCGTGGTGGAACTGTCCTCTTGGACCTCCGCGGAATTGTCCTCCAGCCCCTCCACTGGGAATTACATCTGGCCTACGGGCTGATGCTTTGCTAGCATCCTCTCTTGGTGCCGCATCTAAGCTCTGAAAAAGGAAAACTTATAAAACTATCGAACTTATTCCCCTCCCTTAAAGGATAGTTTTCTATGGGAAACAAGTTGAATGAATCAGAAACTAGCAGTCTTATCTTGAGCCCTTACACTCAAAGATAACACTAGCGAATAATACTGGCTAATTTTGATATTGCATGATATTTGGAAGGTAGAACAGCTCAAGCCGATAATTAAGACTTCTCCAACATGGAGCAGTTGGCTACTATCCACCGAAACCCTTGTTACTAGATAATACCGACTAGGTAACAGGCTAGTTACCCCAGGCCCCAGATTTAAACAACATATCCCAAACACCTTACGTCGGCCTGAATGGGTGTAACTCTAATGAAATATTTTCCTAAAAAAAGAACATACCGGAAAAGCTCCAAATAAGGCCGCAGCGGTCAGGATGAGGTATAAATTCATCTGAAAATAACTCAGAATATCCTTTTGTCTGCTATTGTGTTACCAGATGATTTCTCAAGATCCCAACAAATGCTCCTTCGCGGAAGCAATTGACTACTGGGCAGTATGATCGAAATGGAAGCCTACATAGAAAGCAGAAAGGGCTTGTGAAGATTCAATGAAGAGGAAGTGAACTGATGGGATGCCACCAATGCCACCATCGTGCCTTTTATACAGAACTCCCATAATCAACCGAGGGCGTCAACGTTGTCTTTTTCTAAAAGCAGCCCTCAGACAGTCTGCAACCACCTCTATTCTATATTCATTTTACTGCTATTTGGACAACATTTATTGAATTTTTCCTATGAAAACAGTATTTTCACTGTGAAATTTATAAAAGTAAATATCGGCATTGTTTCCCATAGTTCCATTCACACATCTGAAACACGTTGGGCTGTTCCATAAAGGATTTTTGTTGTCATGGGATCAATTCGATCCTCCAGACACTCGAAGAGCTGTACAGGGACAAAATGGCGAGCTGAGATCCTCCCTGGGTAGCTACAACAATGTTTGAGTAAGTTCTTCGAGCAAAATCTGCCCTATTTCGTTTGCACATGGAGCGATGATCGAATCCCTGCTCGATATACGCCTTGGCCATCTAAACCTTCCATCCTTCCTGGGTCAGTTGGTTGGTACAAGACCAGTTCGAGAGGATGGAAGCACTGACTTGCCGAGATCTTCAAGTTTTTGATGTGGCAAGTCTCTTTCACTTGCTTTAGTTGCAGAGTGATTTGATGAGATTCCCATCAGAAATTTATCAGAAGAAAGTTTTCTGTTGGAAGCAAATATGAAAGCTTGGGATACGTGACGATATTTTTTTGCAAAAAAAGGTTCTTGCTGTTCAAACATGGGCAAAATGAGATCTGCATCAGATCAACAGCTGGATTGTTCAAGCACTGTCCTGTGGGTGAAATGAATAGGTAATAATAGCCATCACTCAAATCCAACAATTTAGTATAAATTGCCAAGAGGACTGGCACTTGCAGCACTCTTCACTTCGTTCTCCCTTCAACGAATCTCTACCGACTCTTTTGCCTTTTCCCTGGGCTCTTGTGTCGAACATTCCAGCCCAGGTACGCAATGTTGATTCCAAGTCGTAGCTAGCTAGTTGCTTAACCTCCTTTTGCCTCTCGTATAACCTTCGTGAAGCAGCAGTACCTGGTGCAGCTCTCCAGATGTACATTTAGGCCCACATAACTTCTGCCACCATTTCTGGTCACTGATTCGGTAAGTTTTCTTCCATAGGCTACATTAAAATGAAAAGAACGAAAGAAAAAAGTTCCCGTCATTAGAGATCCAAGCTTGAAAATTTCTGGGATTTTTGCATCTCGTGCTGTTCCTCTTCCCTTTGAATACAAGTTTGTGCCAAGGTAAAAAGTCTTTGCTATTTGGAAGCACTCAACTAAGATTGTCGATAAGATGCAAATAACTTTTTACATTTTCCGTTCATACAGAATGCATATTCAATACATTTAAGAACATCGAGGACGTAATGACGGCACCACTCACCTTTTCGAAACTACGGTCCTTCCTCAAGGAAGCCTCCGAGTCTTGGATTCTAAAGCAGAATGAATGTGCTGTGAAAAGGACGATGTTTGGAATTTCACTATAACGCAAGTGCAGAACGGAATTTGGAGTTCCGAGCTCCATCAAAGAACGAAGACCAGGAATGTGGTTGCCAGAAAAATCCCTGATGTCTTGCGGGGTCTGATACCGAACGGCTTGTCGTGCTCGCCGCACGCGATCGCGCGTTGTAAAGGGAAAAGTTCGAATTCTAAGGGGAAGGATACGGAGTGTAGCTGCGGAACCACTACCGCAGGCCGTGGGAGATCGTGGAGAAATTCCGTCATCCTTTCTTCCGTCGTCACCCGCCGCGACTTGGTCGAGGAGGAAAACTTTGGAGAAAGAAACTTCTTGAGAATGGGAGGCTGTATTATTTTCCCAAATCTCATGGTAATCCAACCGCAACCACCTTGAGAGATTTCCGAAATATTTTTCTCAATGAATCAAATGAAGGTACAATATAATAACGGCAACTGTCCCTATGGGAGGCAATAATCTAATATTTTCTTTTCAAAAATGGCTTTCATGCTGTTCAAATAATGGCAAAATGGGGATGAAGAGGTCAGCCAAATAAGCCAGCCGAAGGCTGTATCGTGTTTGAACAGTACCTCGTGGAAGAAGTGCATGTTGATGGTCATTATTCAAATTCAATAATTCAATATAAAGGACACAGTGGTAGCATTAGCAGAGAATCGTCGATTTCACTACTCCGACATCTGAACCTTCACAGGCACTTTCCAAACACTATTCGGACTCCTTATTATTCTTTTTTATTCTGCCTGCTACTATCGCCCAAGTTATTGGTGAAGTCTCACTGAATTCTTAAGAACGTCGTACCTGAACTGAAAAAGTTTTAAATGCACTTTCGAGTTCTTCAAGCTTTTGCTGTGTTACTGGCAACATTCCCGGTACGCTCTTCTTATCAGAGTTTGTATTTCTCTTGAAGGAATCAAGCGATTTCTGTTGATAAGATGTGAACGTTAGGTCTCCTGTGATTAGTTTTTATACTACAGTACTTAACTTTTATTTTTTTTTGTAGATAAGTTAGGCTTCACTTTCTCAACATACAATTCAACTCGCTCAATAACTCCATAGAATGGAGTATGATGGTGAAGGAAGGACAAATTCATTCGGGGTCGACCAGTCTCGTTTTGGGATGCGTCTTTCCCCAGTCGGCTTTCATTCCGAATTGAACACGACTGTGGCCTAATAATTCTCCTTATCCAGCAGATTACACGTTAATGCTTAATGAGTCTGGTACCAGTCAATCGACCCCGCTCGGACAGAAAGCTTGGGCAGGTATCGATCCGATATGGTTCGATACCTGTGCCACATGTGTGTGGTGGGTGGTGCAGTGCTTGTCATCCACACCACTTCCTATTCAACACTTATTTCTAATTGCCTACAAAGCAAATGAACGCCTTTTCCAATTCCTTGTGGACTGCTCAGTCATTTCTTTGGTGTATTTACAATCGTTCGAACTAACTTCTAATATTTGAGAAGTGGGTGGAGGTTGGGTAATGGCAAGTGGAGCACTTCAATCACGCATGATCACGGGTTCGAATCCGCCTAGGCTAACCAACCTTCCATTCCTCTCGCATTACTTAGTTGGTACCAGACTCGCTTGGCAGGATAAAAGCACTGACTTGAACATCGGCTTGTCACCGCAAGTCATTGAATAGGCCGCATACGCATTTAATGCGCCACTACGATTCTGAATGGAAGTCAAATGAGTAGGCACAGCCCTCAGACTAGATTGATTGTGGCCTCAAGGCTTTATCCTTTATCCTTCAAATTTGGAGAAGAGTCAAAAACCCCCCTCGAAAACGAAAAAACCAAAAAAAAAAATGCCTAGTTTTTCACTCGTTCCTTCGAACAGGTAGGGGTTTTGTAAAACAGTGTACAAGGACGCGAATCAGTACAGTACCGAGATTATTTTCTACCGTACCTCATTATTGTTATCTTAATTCGATCGCATTTAATGAAACTGGAAACATGTCGCCCAATTATTAGTACATTTCAAATATGTAGTGGTCATGGAGAACTAAGAGTAAGTGGAGATGCTGTGATGGTGATGAATTGAATAGATTAATAAATTTTGTTTTTGTTTCAGAGACTAGATGCGACAACTAAAAACGATAGTGCGAAGGTTGCTGACCGGTCGGAGGAAACAACCAAGTTACCACTCACAAAACGATCAAAAAAACCTGATGTAGTACTTCCAAATGAGGCACTGCCGTTAGGAGGGCTTCCATTCGGAGGGCCTAATGAACTCCCTTCGAAAGGGCTAGAAGACAAACCATTTGGAGGATTTGGTGGACCCGCTCCAGGAGCTCCAGGTAGGAATTCTTACGGAAAAGCTAGAGAAGGTGGAGAAAGTACATTTGCAGGATCTGGAGGAGCCTCTTTTGGGACAAATGGAGGAAACTCGTTTGGAGGATTCGGAGGTTCAGCAGGACGAGCAGGGAATACGTTTGGAGGACCATCATTCGGAGGTCAAGAAGAAAATTCCTTCGGAGGACCTGGAGGAAACTCTCCAAGAGGAAATGGAATAGGTCCGTTCGGAGGGTTCGGAGGACAAGGAGGTTCGGGAGGGATAAGAGAGAATCCGTTTGGAGGACCATCATTCGGAGGTCAAGGAGAAAATTCCTTTGGTGGACCTGGAGGAGTCTCTTCCGGTGGAAATGGAGCAAATACTTTCGGAGGATCCGGTGGTTTTGGAGGGCAAAAGGGGAATCCTTTTGGAGGACCATCTTTCGGAGGACAAGGAGGAAGCGCTTTTGGCGGACCCGGAGGAACTTATCCCAGAGAAAATGTAGGGAATTCGTTCGGAGGATTCGGTGGAGGTTCCGGGGAGCAAATAAGAAAACCGTTCGGAGGACCATCTTTCGGAGGTCAAGGACGAAACCCATTTGGAGAGCCTGTAGGTCCTTATCCTGGTGGACAACAAATTAATTCATTCGAAGCACCTGGAGGACCCTCTCCCACAGAAAATAGAGGGAAACCGACAGGAAATCTCGAAAGATACCCTTATGGATGGTCCCGAAGAGAGTCATCAGGAAATGGAAATGTTAGAAACTCAGCTGGTGGTCTTGTAGGATACCCTTACGGAGCATTTGGAGGAACCTCTTCAAATGGAAATGGAGTGAATGCTGGAGTTGGGAGCTCTGGTGGTTATCCTTATGGTTACAAGGGAAACACGAACAATGGAGCAGGAGGATATCAGCGTTTTGAACTCAGAGGAGCTTCTTTTGTGGAACAAGGTATATGGTAGCGACAATAGCGATCAGAAGAGCTGTAAAAGGAATTCTGTCACTTTGTATGAGGTGCAAGCCGTCCAGCTGATAGGCAATGTGTAAAATAATCTAATTATTTCAATAAAATACTTTGATACGTGTTGCTACATTTTAGGGTTTGCTACTGCTAATGGTCCGAGATGATAAAAGAAATGATAAATTGAAATCCTCGACGATCCCAAAAGCTGAAAACAGAATAATTTTTTGTCGGACGAGTTTCCTCTCTGAGAAGTTAAATAAACAGGAATCCTATATTTGGGGAACTTTGTGAATCTAGTCCTGAGACTGAAAGAGGGGACTGAGACTGTCCTCAATGGCTTCATCAACGATTTGGTAAGAAAATAACTCGAACTACAGAAATGAGGGCATCGAGTCTACTTCTAGAGGGAGTCAACCTCTGGCAGCATCAAAGAACGTTTTTCTCTGGCAGCACTTTCTGTCGTCCCCTTCACCATAGATTGTCACCTATGAGCGACACAATAATTGATTGCGATTGGTTTATGTAAACGGTAGGGTTGATTGAATTCGATCTGATGATTTCGATCGATATTGATCGATCCAACGTTTTACAGTACCGTCTTTACTTCAATGTAGTTCGTTCAATCTAACGACAAGACGTAGGCAGTAATTTCGCCCACAAGTGAGTTGCGATGCCGTATCCTAAATATTTGTCGGCCACCTAACAATAATACAAATAAAGCAAGAAAAAAAAATAGAAAAATGCATTGATTGTATCGATCCGATAAGTCAAGGGATTGGTCTAGATGATAACAGAAAAGTTAAGCAGATGATGCGACGATTGCGATCTATCAAGATGGAATAAGAATGAAATTTTCAAGTGAACAAGTTGTTCAGGCATCTGAGGATCAGCTGAGCATATTCGGCTACAAATGGTCAGCGGATAAACATACTTACCCAAATGGTCGTACAACTTTTTTCGAATTTGGATTTTTTTCTTCAAAATAACCAACAAAGCATTACCACCAACAAAATGCCTCTAAAGTACAGATACATACTTCAGATTTGTACCAGGCCGAAAATTTTTTTTCAGATTCACAGAGGTTCCCAATGCATGTGGCATTTTTGTTACTCCTAAGCATCACGCATCTGAATTGGAGTACAGGCCAGATTTCATGCTCATCCTACTCAAATACGTTGACGTCAAAATATGAGTTTTCAAGTTTTCCCGTTTCATAGAGTGTAGAATAGAAGTCGAAAAGACGACATGATGCTGTTGTGTGGGAACTGGAAGTACGCGTGGGGAGCACCGTTCTAACAGTAAACTTGTGATAGAGTGAAATGATTTAGACGCAAACTTCACAGACAACATATGCGATCCTACGGCATAACCGTATTTGATTGAGCATCCTAACACTGACACATATACGATTTATCGAAAAAGGTCTTGAGCAAGGAATTTCGGAGTTATTGCTTAGATGTGCTTATCGCACCGGGGCGTTCAACAAGAAAGAAGGTTCTAGCAGTTCTTCTGAGAAAACATGGCAACAACAACAATGGGAAAGGAAACTAAATAAAGGACGAAAAGAAGAAAAGAAGTAAAGAGAAGAGAAAACTAATCATGATTCGTATCGCCTTTAACTCACTCACAATCAGACCAAAGCTAGGGCACACGACTTGCTTACTGTAAAGGCGGGCAGGGTTCCCAAGCAGGGTCTTCGTTCTTGTGGATTTTACAGCGCAAAATCGGGCGTGAACCAGGTTCCATTCTGACCAATCTGACCTTATCAAGAAATAAAATAGGACAGATACAGAACATAACACACAACATTTTCTATTCTACAACGGCCCTACTTCAATCAGCACCGTTTCACCTCCCACTACTTCGCATAGGCCACAAATACCATAATCTTCAGTTCGTCGTCGGGCTCTATGGGTGATGTGACCCTTGCTGAGCGTCACAAACAAACATCACAACAAGCGGACAGAATCCTCAAACGGGTTGATATAATATAAGATCCAGGTGCTCCGTCCGAATTCACGATTTTGTGGAGCTGTTCGGGAATGATTGAAGCCACTCAAAGGTGTACCAAACGACCAGTAGGAAAAGTACACGGAATAAATATAATAACAAAAAATTGTAATACAAAGTGCTCATGCTCAGTGTTCATGAAGCGTGCCTTCTTAGGTGTCTCTCAGGACTGAGGTCTCACACCTCTTAAAAGAAGATTTTCAGTTAAACTGCTACTGCAGATTTCGCTTTCAACCATATAATACAGCNGCTGTTCGGGAATGATTGAAGCCACTCAAAGGTGTACCAAACGACCAGTAGGAAAAGTGCACGGAATAATTATAGTAACAAAAAAAGGTGATACAAAGTGCTCATGCTCAGTGTTCTAAAGCGTGCCTTCTTAGGTGTCTCTCAGGACTGAGGTCTCACACCTCTTAAAAGAAGATTTTCAGTTAAACTGCTACTGCAGATTTCGCTTTCAACCATATAATACAGCAGCACATTTTCACGGAAAATGAGATTGAAAATGCCATAACTGAAGCGGAACTCGTACAGGATGGTACCGTTGTTAAGGAACCATGTTAAAAAGACGAAAACCTGTGGTTAGACCGAATACGCATATGAATGAATGAAAATTTTCAATAGAAGCATCTCGAAGGGATTAATTTACCATTTCCCACTACAATTCTTTTCTATATAGTGAATCATTCTGAATTAGCAGTAATTGCATAACACTGTGAACAGCAATTATACATTCGATTCAATAGCAAAGGTGATTAGCTCCGGTGCGGTTCAAAGAATCACTTCGACTGTGGGCACTGAGAAAGGCCAACAGCTCTCCAAGCATCCATGGGGGCGAACTAAACCTAGGGTTCTAGCAGAAGTCTAAACTAAATACTTAAAGAATGGTGATCTGCGGGTTTACAAGATTCTTAGAGGGCAACCAGTCTTGGGTAGCCGGAAGAACACGTGCGGAAAAACATAAGAAAAGTCCGAGTTCTGATTGATCTTGGAACTCTACTGCGATACTTTCACAAAATCTGTGGCAAAGTAGCCCGATGACCCCCTAAGAACATGGAGGAAACTCATCCGAAGGCTCTGATGGGTACCCATATCATCAGAAGAATTGCCTCTGAAGCATGTTCCGTGATGCTTACATTATCGGCTCATTCCAACAGAACTCTCAGAGACACGGGAACGTGCGATACACGCATGAACCCATCAGAGCTCCTGGCGCAAGCAGCATAGCATTTGTTCCCGAGCTGTAAATCCGTGGAGAGAGAGAAGTATCGAAGCTCGGGGTTCTAAGCTGATTCTGCGGCTTAATGTTAAACCCAGAAGTGAAAGAAAATCTGCAAGAAGAACAGAAGGCAGGCAGGCCTGAGATCTATTTCTTTCTTCGACGTAGTTGCTATTCACTCATCAGTACCGAATAGCACCTTCTGCTCCTCAAACTACCCCCTCTCAATTGCCTTTGCCTGCTCTCTCTGAAACAGCGAATTTTGCATGTTCAATCAGCATGACATTCGCTGCTG